TTTTTTTTTTTGGTGAAGAAAGGGGCTAAGAGCCCAAAACAAACTCAGATAACACCCGCCAAATCAGCGGCTAAAGCGCGAAAGATGAAACTAGGAGGCGAATCGTAAATAATTAGATTCTCCTCTCCTATATTACATTGTTTAGCTAAGAGATCTGCCACTAAGTTGGCCTCCCTACCAATATGCAGGTACGAAATTGTCTCACAGGAAGCCGCTAACTCTGATATCTCTTGAACTAGGTCAAAGCATTCATTCTGACGGGGGCAGCCATTCCTTAGCAGTGTGATTGCTTCTAGTGAATCAGATTCTATTAAAATGTGCGTAACCAATTTTTTAAGGTGAATTAGTCGAAGTCCTTGGGTGATGGCCCACAGCTCCTGGAACGGGCCGTTCAGATTTCAGAACGGCCCGTTCTGGTTTAGTTTATCACGTGTTTTTTCTTCTTCTAGAACGGCCTGTTCTGGTGCATTATTCCTGTGTTATTTTTTCATCTAGAACGGGCCGTTCTGGAAGTGACAGCTGTTGCGTCAGTCATCGTAATACGTGTTTTTTTTATAGGTAATTTAAAAAAAAATCAGTAAAATATTCAGAAATTTTATCCAGTGTGTGAAGGTGTACAATATATTTTCTCACTAAATCACAATCTCAACCATTCATTATTTTTAATATTATATCTATGGTGATTTTAAATGCACCATCCATGGACCACTTGTCCAACTTCTCCATCATAGACATCACCCTAATAGTGAATTGAAGTTGTCTACAAAGGACCACCTGTTAGGGTGGCTCACCCTAGAATTAATCTCAAAAAAATGATCAAGTTAAATTGAACTTGTATTTTGATTAAATTGAAATTCCTAACCCAATTCAACTTGCAACTCAACTTGTGATGGCTTGTAAGTTGAATTAGGTTCACCTATCTATTATTAAAAAATTATAAATTATTTTTATTTACCTTAATTTTTTCAAAAATAATTTAAAAAATATTATAAAACTAATAATAAATCAAATAATTTATGTAACAGAAAAATCAAATAACTTAAATATTCAATATAACTTGTACTTAACAAATCTATCAAAAATAATAAAATAAATTCACAATACAACTACAAATAATTCAATTAAAAATAATAAAATAAATATACGATAATAAATAGTTCTAATAAGTAAATGATCTACAAATAAAATAAATGTCAATATGTAAAATTGTAAAAGTGAAGGAAAAGTATAAATCAATTCAACGGATCAAACCAATCTAATCCATTATTTAATTTGTTGGGTAGGTAAATTATGTAAGTAGAAAGGATGAAAAATGTAAAACTTACCAAAATATTTGAGTGGATTAATTAACCATTTGAGTTAAGCTCATTTTGACATCCTTTTATTTACCAACTCTCGTTGGGTCAAGTCATCATGTTTAATTTTAAAATTAATAGTAATAATAGTAAAAAGGGAAATTGGAAAATTTAAAGAATATGAAATAATAATAAAAAATGAAAAGCAATTGAGTATTGGCACAAAACTCTAAATTCTAAACCACACTTTTTTTTACTGACGGATTTTTTTTTTTATTCTATTTATTATTCTTATAAAGTTACACCAGATAGGTGTGAAATTGTTAAACTACCTAAAGCAATTGGTTTAATATTTACTAATGGGAAAAAAAAGTCACTGTATTTCATGTGTTCGTGAAAAAAAAATAATTATTTAATGGAATGAACAGTTTTTTTTTATACACATCTTTCTTTTTTATTTCATCTTTAAAAGATATATTACTGAAAAAAAATTGAAATATAAAATAGTAATATAAATACCTCTTAATGAGTGAACACAAAAAAAATGTATTTCATTTATATATTTATCATAGATAAAACCAATTAAATATACAACCCCATTCCAACCTGATTATTTGATGGGAACTTACTACCACGCTGTTAGAACTTGGCGAAATCACCTCCTGCCGTCTACTATCAAATTTTACCCTACCATTATCTAGGCTATTACTATCTCTCAACCAAATGCTAATGGCAAATTTTCTAACAATTTTTTATATCATTAACTGAAATTTATCAAAACATACAAATAATGAATCATCACTTAATAAATCTCACAGATAAATTCATGAATTTTAATAAATTCTAGTCCACAATAAAAAGTGTAATAGAAAAGGTACAACATATAGACATTCATTATTCAATGCCATCGAACATTTGATTCTGTACTTTTTGGAACACTTGATTTCATAAAATGGTTCTTCCGTATGGAATCTCTCTAGTCAATAAAATGATTCTCTTAATATGGGATTTCCGCCTCTCCCGTAATTGCTGACAAGTGACAATATAAGGGCAGATAATAATGGTTATTTTTACCGTTGCGAGATGAGATAGGTCTGCAAGAGGGAGTTGAGCAACTGCACCTTATGTTACTGCTTTCAATAAGAATAAGACTTGGAATTCATTCACTTCTAAACAAACATAAATATCTAGACAGCACGTTCTAACTATCCAAATATTATTATACATACTCCAAAAATTTACGTAGGAAATAAATATTGCATGAGAAACATTTTGATTCAGTAATGTGGGTTGCAAATGTTCTTAACCAAGACCTGTGCCTGCATCCTTGCGAGGAGCATCAGCCTTAATGCGTGGCGGCCTAACAACACGATCAATGAGCCCATATTCAAGAGCTTCCTGTGAGTTGAATCGTTTCATCCTACTCAGGTCTCTGGTAATCTGAAAAGATGCATTAGAAATTAGTTTCCAAGCCAATAATGCTTACAAAAAGCAAACTTTGATACAAACACACAGCTATGATGCATATGATCCATTGGTATCATATAGGACAATACGATTATTTTAGAATATATAGGATATAATATATGTAAGATACATATCTATATATGTATAAAAATTCATAAAACATAATATATAATTACAATTCCACAAAACCAAATTAAGAACATACTTCCTGTGCATTACAAAAAGCAAAATAAACATTATAAATCACTCCCTGGTATCTACAACTACAAAAGTATCAATCTCATTCCATTATTAAATTCATCAAGGACAATGCTTTTGTATTTTTACATTATCCATGCTTTAGGTCGTATGAAGCTGTATTGGATTTTCATAACTTTTTTCAAGGCTTGTATACTTCAGGGAATGTAGGGTGAAGTAATTAAGAGTATCCGTAAATATGTAAAGCAAATTAATATATCGGTACTTCATAGACACAAAGAAGGCAGGAATAACCCAATAATCTACAACACGTGATCAAAAAATGGATAAGAAATTGAAAAACTGAAAAGAGGCATAGAAACCAATTGTTTAAAAAGCACGTCCTTGTTGAAAGCAGTGTGTCAAAGTTGAATTTGACTTCATCTTCAAAGAAAAGCTAATGGTTTTTTAAGATCTTTTTTTGTATTGCAGTAAGTTTGTTAGTCAAGCATATATACAATCATGAGATTCAAACCATAAAAGAAGTCACGCAAACTCATTTATCTCCAATCTCCATGTATTTCATTGTTGGGTGAACTGACCTTCTCAACAGGCTGACCTGTTTTCTTAGCCAACTCATTGAAAAGGTAATCTCTGATTCTAAGAAGTTCATTTGCTTCATTACGAATGTCATCAGCCTGACAGAATTTTCATGATGTTAGCATTCAAAGTAAAAGCAATCCCACTCATACATCAGAGGTGATAAAAGTGACCTTCAGACAGAAGACAGACATACCTGTCCACGAGCAGCCCCAGCTGGAGATTGAAGGGCAATTCTTGAAAGAGGCATTGCAAAACGATTGCCCTTAATACAACAGAACATGGAAAGATTAATAGATCATCAGAACTATTTCAATAACCCTAGAAAGGATAATAGACTCAATACAATAAGCTAAAGGCACACATTGCATGAAATCAATTAGAATCAAGTCACAACAGAATGGAACAGAAAGAGAAGCTGCTAACTGCTAAGGAGTCAGAAGTTTATGATGATATTAATGACTGAAAAAGTAATTGAATGTTTAGTACCATTCTTTCTTTACTTAACGTTTAGTTGCTTTTAATGTGATCCCAAGTCTGTATGGGATATATCCACATTCAATTTCAAACTACAAGGCTCACCAGGTTTTTCTATTGTAACTCAGTACTATAATTGATAGCACTGATGTCAGACATGAAAGATAAGGTTATGCTATAAATATAAATTGTACATGTCAGACACTCACTAATGACCACGCAAACAGGGAAAGAAACTTATTATCTTTTATTTCAATGATTTAATGTCAGTTGTTTCAAATGCATACTGTACTGATGTCAAGCATAATTTTGAATCATATTAATGGTGGAGAGGGAATACAATTGTATCATGTATGATATAGAGATAACACTTCTGTCGACAAGTCTAAAGTCCATACAACAGAAAACATGTTTGATTATATTGGAAATCTCTAATCATATAAAGCCTTACTGGGTGAGATAGACATGACTTCTACATGTTGTATTAATAGACTGTGATAACACAGTACCTTTTCTCCAGCTGCAAGGAGAAATGCTGCAAGATTATAAGCATAGCCAACACAATGGGTGGCTACAGCACTTTGCAAGCTCTGCATGGTGTCATAGATAGCCATGCTTGGTGTAAGCTGCAAAATTTGCAAGCTTAAGAGAGTTAAAAACCATGACTAATGACTAATCAACAAGATGAAGCAAGAAATAGAAGAATTTAATTGATTGATATTTAACACTAGAATCACAAGAGACTTACATCACCACCAGGACCATTGATGTACATATAGAGCTTCTTGGAGTTATCTACACTGTCAAGATACAGCATAGTCGCCAATATTTGGTTACTAAATTCTTCATCTATCTCTTGTCCAATGAAGATAACACGTTCTCGATACTGCATCAATAATGCACTAGTTTTTGTACTACTTAACTTGAAAAAGGAGATGAAAACCTAAAGGAGACTTGAGGTCCACATATGAATAATGATCAATATCTATGTGGTAAAAAGAAAACCAGCATCTTTTAGAGAGTAAAGTGTAAAATTAATAAATAATATACACCAAGGTGTAATGACTTACAAGGGCATTCCATAAATCAACCCATTGCCAAGTTCCTTCCCCGGGTGTCCTATAGGGGACTCTAGGAGTCCCTATGGGCATCATTCGGATATGTGCCCTTGATGGATTGTGGTTAGCATACCTGAAAACAAGAAAACTTTGTATTGTTTGCATCAGTCTGTTTCCATTGATTTATAACATTTGTGACAATCTCTTCTACAAAGTGTGACATATAGTACACTCACAAGTAGTGGAAACCAGGTTGTATCCATACTTTCACTAAGTCAAAGATTATTATGCTCTTCACAATTCATATTTGTAACAAGAAAACTAGCAATGATATTTTGATAGAACACAAATTGATAAATGAAGAACAGGATTATATATCACACAGAATAGGCTCAACAACCCTTCTTAGAATAGGCTTTGATACCATCTTAATAAAGTGAGTTTGGGCTTAACTCAACCTTACAATACCAGCTTGCAAAGTAAAAGTTATCATCCACTTATATACTCTTTATTGACCTTATTCCTAGTGGATGTGAGAATTGAATATTTTCCAATAATGGCCACTAAGAACTCGTTTGTTGTTTGAATTAACTCACTAATCCAGTTATTAATATTATAGCAACAACAATTATAAGCTAAGTGGGACTTGCTTCCTGCAGCAAGGAAAACTGTATTGGAGTGTAAGTGTTGCATTTGCAGGCTTAAGGAATCAGAACCTATAAAATTCTACCAGGCACACAGTAGCAAAACAATGTAGCAGAAAGAAACAACAACGACAAGGCAGAACATGACAAATACATTATTCATTTTTCATCCAAAAATGAGTTAGGAAGAGGAAATAGAGAAAGTTCCATTCATGAAAGGTGTAAATCAAAAGTGTACAATTCTAGCTATATAATCAATTAATGAGGTGCAAGAGTGGCAATTCAAATCCAAGAGATCATAACTCATGTTAAGAAATATCTCGCAAGGTTTAGCACAGAGAAGATGGCACAAAGGCACACGCCAAAAAAAAAAACTAAAAATCATATAACCCAACGAAAAAGATGAATTGGAAATGGGGAGTGAAGGATTACCGACACTGAAGAGCCTTGTGAACTTTTCCGTAAAATTCAGCGGTTACGTTAGGTTTTGCCGCTCCAAAAGGACCTACAATTGAAAACGGTGAGCCAGCAAGCACAGAGAGATGAAGAGATTGAATAATAACAACAAAGATAGGGAATGAGACACACTCGCAGATTGAAGTTTCAATCCGGAGTAGAGTTTTGTGCCAACACTGCAAGGGGAAAAGAGAGAACACAGTAAGCATTAGTTACAGAGTGGATTATACAATTTTGGAAGAGAAAGAGAGAGAGAGTTTGTAACCTAGAAGTAGAAGGGAAAGA